TGTGTGTGTGTGTGTGTGTGTGTATCCCCCCTTTCTTTTCTCCTTTTCCCCCGTCCCAGTTGTTCTTTCCTTTTGAGCAGTTTCTTTTCCTTTCACAGCATCTATTTTACCTTTTGGATCTTATTTACTCTTTCAGTGTCTTACACTAGGGAGACAAGCTGATGTTTGTACATTTGAGCCCGATTTACTTATCTTATGAGTATGGTGTCAAGTTGCATCCATTTATCTATGGAAGCCTCAGTTTTATCTTTCTTTATCTCTGAGTAATACTTCATTGTCTAAAAATTCCACATCTTTTTTATCCATTCCTCAGTTGAGGAGCATTTAGTTTGTTTCCAAAATCTAGCTATTCCAAATTGTGCTGCTGTGAACGTGGGTGCACATACATTGCTGTGGCACGAAGATTCAATTTTGCTACTGTGCAGTTTTCATTGTGCAAATGCATCTCATTTTGTTTACCCATTCATTAGTTGATGACATTTGACTTGTGTCTACTTTTTGGCTGTCATAAGTAGTGTGAGTTATAGACATTCATGTACCTGTTTTTGAGGGGTGCATCTCATTCTCTTGGCTATATATCTAGATGTGGAATGGCTGAGCCTTACTGTAACACTAGACATTTGAAGAATTATCAGATTGTTTTTCAGAATGTCTTCACTGTTTTTCATTCCAAGCAAAAATGTGTGAGTGTTCCAATTTCCCCACGTCACTTTTTGTCTTTTTGATTATAGCCATCCTCGTTGACATGACATTGTATGGCATGGTGGTTTCAATTTATGTCTTCTTATTAACTAATGGCATTGAGCATCTTTCGCTTGGGCATGGGTTTTTGGACACTTAAATGCCTTTTTTTCTGAGGAAATATCTGCTCAACCTTTTGTTTATCTTTATATTGGGTTATTTATTATTCAACTACGAGGGTTCTTAGTAAAGGGGGTATAACTCAGGGGTATAACCCTGCAAATACAAGGTTTTGAGTTTGATTCCCAGAACCATAAAAAAAGAGTTCTTACATATTCTTGATGCCTCTAAAAGCACCTTATTAGACATATAATTCACATATCTTTCCTTCTTTTCTTTTCTTTTTTTTTTTCAGAACCGGAGATTGAACTCAGGCCCTTGCACTTGTCAGGCAAGCGTTTATTCTACTGAGCTATCTCCCTGGCCCCTTTCCTTCATTTCTATGGCTTAACCTTTTACATTCTTTACAGTACCCCATCAAGTGCAAAAGTTTAGTATTTTTTAATTTATTTCCTATTGTATTACTTAAGCTTTTGTTGTTTTATAAATCATTGTTTAGCCAACAGTCATGAAAAGTGACTTTCCTCATTTTTTTTCCTAGTTTTAACTCACATTTACATCTGTGCCCAATTTTGAGCAAATTTTTGTGTATGGTGTGAGGTAAGGGTTTAACTTTATTCTTTTTCAGAGGACTAGTAAGCAGTTACAGAATCATTTGTTGAAAAAACTTCTTTTTCCCATGGAATGTCATTGTCAACTTAAGCAAAACTCAGTTAACCAAAGACATGGGAATTAATTTCTATCCAATCTGTGTCACTGGCCTTCCTATTTACACTTCTGGTACCAGTGCTCAACCTCAGGACCTTGTGCTTCCCTAATACTCTCCTGGGCTCTACCTGTCTTCATCAGTGTAGTTCTGTAGAGTTTTGGAGAGGAAGCACGAATCCTCCAACCTCTTTCTATTTTTACAAAGAAGCCAACTGAGACTTTAGTAGGGATTACATTGAATTTGTAGATTAGTTTAGGGAATATCACCAGTGAAATATTAAATCTAGTCTTTCAACATGGGGTATCTTTCCACTTATTTAGGTCTCCTTTAATTTTCAAACAATTCTTTGTAGTTTTTAGCTATATTTTTTACCTTTTTGTTACATTTATACTTAAGTATTTTATTGCTGTTTTTGATGCCATTGTAAAGGTAATTATTTTCTTAATTTTACTTGGTTTTATTTTCAGAGTGCTCATTGATTATACAGAGACACATAATTGCTGTTGGTACATTGATCTTGACTTTTACATTTGTTTTTTATTTTTTCTTTCCAATGCCAGGGATTGAATACAGGGCTAGGAAAACATGTTACCTCTGAGCCACATCCTCAGGCTTGCTTATTAGTTGTAATTGTTTTAAAATATATTCTTTAGGAATTTTAATACATAAGATCATATCATCTGTACATTTATACAGTAACTATTGCCTTCACAATCTGGGTACCATTTTCTTCCTATGTTTTTTACATAACAGCCCTTGCTGGAGAAACCAGCACAATGCTAAACAGAAGTGGTAAAAGCAGATATCTTTGTTTTTTCCTTGGTCTCTGGGGAGAGTATTAAATCAACATTGAGTGCAATATTAACTGTGGGATTTTCGTAGACTGGCTCTATCAGGTTGAGGAAGTCCTAGTCCTAGTTTACTGACTGTTGTTTTTATAAGAAAGCATTGAATTTTTGCCCAAAATTTCTTCACATGGTTTTATTGTATTTGTATATTATATTTCATTTCCTAGAATAATTCTCACATACTTATGGTGTATGAACTTTTTACAATTTGTCTTTGGATTCAATTTGTGGACATTTTGTCAAGGAGTTTTATGTTTGTACTCACAAAGGAAGTTCGTCTGTAGCTTTCTTTGTGATACCTTCTTAATTTTGACACTGTTATAAAACCTTACCCGTGGAATGATTTGGAAAGTTTTTCTCCCCCTCCTCCTTCTCTTCTCCCTCCTCTTCTTCCTCCTCCTCTTCTTCTTTCTTCTTCTCCTTCTCCTCTTCCTCCTCCTCCCCCTCCTTTTTTTTTTTTTTTTTTGGAAAAGTTTTATGTCACTTCTTTGAATGTTTGATAGCATTTACCATGGAATAGTTTGGTTTAGGATTTTACTTGTAGGAACATTTTAGTTACCAGTATAATATTTTTGCCTGCCACGGACCTATTTGAATTTTTTACTTTCTTCTTCTGTTGCTTTTAATCATTTGTGTCCTTCTAGCAAATTGGTTGGCATTGCTGTTCACAGCATTTCTTTAATATTAGCAGTGATATATCCCTTTTCATTCTCGAGCATTTCTTTTTCTTGATTAAGGTATTAAAACTTGTTAATTTTCTTGATTGTCTCAAAGAATCACTTCAGTGCCATCAACTTCCTCTGTTGTGCTATTCTTAACTTCCTTCAATCTCACTGTAGTCATCATTGTTTTTTCTCTTTTGCATGTTTTTGTTATATTTTTTCCAGTTTCTTAATGTAAAAGTTTATATTATTGATTTGAGATCTTCCTTTCTTTTAAAATTTAGATGTTTATAGCTATAATTTTCTCTCTGACCACTGCTTTTCCTATATCCCACAAATTATAGTATGCTGCATTTTTATTTTTACTCATCTCCAAGTATCTCTGCTTTTTATAGTGATTGCTTTTTCTGCATGTTGACTATTTAGGAATAATATTAATTTCACGAATTTGTGAATTCCTTCAATTTCTTCTGTTAATGACTTCTGATTTAATTTTATTATAATATAGAACTATACTTTATATTATGCCAATCCTTTTAAATTTATGGAGATGCATTTTGTGGGTCTGTCATATGATTTAAACTGAGATTTTCCATGTGTCTTTGAGAACAATGTCTACCACATTGTTGTTGGATAGAATGTTCCATAGAAGTCTGTTAGATCTAGGTGGTTTATAGTATTAGTCCCCATTTTCTTGTGAATCTTCTATCCATCTTTTTTATTAGTCATTGAAAATACGGTGTGGAAGTCTCAAAATTGTCTATTCTTTCCTTCAGTTCAGTCAGTTTTTTGCTTGATTCCTTTGAAGCATTATTATTAGGTGGATTTATGGTTACAATGTTTATATTTTCCAGGTGAGTGGATTGATCTTTTAACATTTTCAAAGTCCACAATTTTTGTAGAATTTTTCTGTTTAAAATCTATTTTGTCTGGTATAGGTGCAACAACTTCAGTTCTCTTTTATTAGTTATTTTCGTGGCATATCATTTGATATTCTTTTACTTTCAACTTATTTGTAACTAGGGGACAGTTCTCTCCACACCCCTGTAGACTGGGCATTCCAGGAACACTGGTATCATTGCCACTACCATTAATTAGCTCCCACTTTTCTGAAGTTCTGCATTATTATGTAAGTACATCATCATAAAAATGAAAGGCAGGTGAGGATTATTTTGTAGGCTGCAATATTCTCAGAGCCATATACTTGTAAACATTTCTTTGAAGTGCTGACATCAAGTCAAAATGAAGCTGAGGCTTCTCGCCCAAGTGCTGGCATTTTTTCCATGAAAATTTGGAGCACTACTACTGCCCTGTGCTATTATCTGACTTGAGTGCTGGTGTGGAAATGCAGGGTCTCCTGTGTGCACTTTAAGCCTCAAGAGATGTTGTAAGGGGCTGGGGAGATGGCTCAGTGGAATAAGTGCTTCCCTGGCAAGTGCAAGGGCCTGAGTTCAATCCCTGGCTCTGCAAAAAAAAAAAAAAAAAAAAAGAGAGAGAGAGATGTTGTAAATTCTTGCTCTGGTGTGCCTGGTATCCCACCCCATCTTCTGCTCTGTGCCAGGTTCTGGAAAAGAAATAATCTGTAACATAAGGAGCACTGCAATGTTCTGGTCAGAAGTTGACCCTTATACCACGGTGCCTCTGTAACCCAAGACAAAAGAGATTAAAAAAAAACTGGATAGGGGCCATTTCTGGGTCATGGGGTTGAACTACTTTTCCTCTTTGTAAATCCAAAGGATTTAACAGGATTCTTTCCTTGGTGGCTCTCCCTGCCCCCATCCTGATCTTTGCGGCTTCCCAATCTTGAAGGAAAGGCAGGAAGTTTTCCATGTGGGTTTCTTTATGACAACATGATAGGGCTGGTTTGTCAATGGGGAAAACCCCGAGTGAGAACACGCCTTCTTGTGTACATTCCCAAAATTTTGCTTAAATAGAGCCATGCTGCGTTGCTGGTAGAGCAGAACAGCACCCACAGGGCACTGTGTGTACCCAGCACTGAGCAGACCTGTTCCTTGAGCTGAAAATGATGTGCGGCATCAAGCGCGTGTTCCTGGCTGCTTCTATTGCAATGCTTTTGCTTCACTTCTGCATCCAGTCAGAAGGTAAGTGCTGCCCTTTCTCTGGCAGAGAAGGCAGGACCTGCTTTTGCTTTCCCCCTACAACTTGAGCTCATCTGCGGCCCCTAAGGATGAAGATTGCCAGCTCTTTCAGGAGCGGAGGAGAGCAGGGTGACTGTTGCCAAGCAGGTTTCCTCTAAGTTGTCAGTCTCAACAGATCTGGGGAGTGGTGAGCTGAGTTGCCTGAACTCCAGGGCCAGGTCAAGGTGCTGCTTCTAAGAGTAGCAAGAATTGTATGACTTTACCAGTATATGAGGTCCTGAACTGTAGGAAACACTTCAACTTTTCATTTCCCAACTCAATGTTAATGAAGTTCAGAACACGTCCTTTAGAAACAGCTTATGACACCCGACTTCACTATTCCTAAGGGGCCTGAAGGACACAGCTTGTTAACTTTGAGCCAGCATATATTCCTTAGCTGACTACAGGTTATAATTTAACTCAGGGCAGTGTCCAAATATTGATTTATTACTAAGGATATATTGTTTTTAGCAACAGGTGCATGCTTGAAAATGGGTCTGTTGAACTCCCATGAACAAAATTGAAAATTACTGGTAAATAACATTGCAGTTGCAATATACATTAGCTGTAGCTCCTGAAAAGACAGATTTTCTTTGGAATTCTACTTTTTAATATTCAGAAAGATAGATTAAAACCTGCCAATTTGCTAATTTTTAGAATTTGGAAAGTTTATCTAGCGGGTCCTTTTTCTTTCTTTTCAAGTAGCAGGGAATAGAGGTACCCATATTCTTGAGTGAGCATAATGAACTGAGACAGAACATTGTCAGTTTGTATTTCTCACTAAGGCTATTGTACTACTGAGAAGTCATGTATTTTTAAAACTGTGTGGTTGAACCAAAAATTTCCAGCACTCCGTTTTTAAAAAAATTAACTGGAAACTGCATTGAATTTGGTCTTAAAGACCAAGATGGATTTCAAAGAAGTTCAAACTCTTCCATGAAACAGGCTCTTTGGCACATAAGCCAGGGTTATTGGCTTCTTTATGGCTTAGCATAGTCCCTTGATACCAGTGACAGGAGAAGTTCATTCCTTTAACTGCATATTTTCATTCCTCTCTTAGCAGCAAGCAGCTTTGATTGTTGCCTCGGACACAGATCAAAACCACTTCCCATCAAAGGTATTCGGGGCTTCACAGAGCAGCGGGCCAGTGAAACTTGTGACATCAATGCCATCATGTAAGTTAGTAGTTAAATATACGGGAAATTTCAGTACAATTATTTAAAGGATCATTCAGAAATAACCTACATGAGCAGAAAGCTTGTTTGATCAGTAAATATATACTTCAAAGTTCCCTTTAGAAAATACTGCAATAAGGCAAAAGCTTAATTGTTTGACAAAAGAAACAATAAGAGTGGAAATCACTTTCTAAGATAACCTTATAGTCTCTTAAAATATCCTCTCAGGAATATACAGAAGGCATGTTTTGAAATGAGCGTCTCTTATCAAAAGTGGTTGGGGTTGTATGTAAAATCTCAGGTTAATTATACTGTCACATATTGTATTTTCTTGTTTTTTCTTTTTGTGGCGGAATTGGGGATTGAACTCAGTCCCTTGCACTTGCCAGGGAAGCACTTATTCTACTGAGCCATCTTCTGGGCTCCACATATTGTATTTTATACTGGTAGAGAAAATTATATTTTAGAGTCATATTATTGATCAAATACATCATTTATTTCTTATCAACTACTGCAGTACAATTAAATAGCGATCCTGGTACTTTATCCTTCCAGGTCTGTAAAGCCATGTGTTGCACTGCAGATCAAGTCAAGGCAAATCACCTGCCTTTCTTGCATCAAGATGTATCTTAAGCATTTCCTTCATTTTACCTCATTAGCCAAAATGTTTCGTATGGAGAGTAGTAAACTGGAACATGAAACTCTCACTGCATATTCTGTGAAAAACATTTAAAACTTGTTAAATATTGATTGGGTTTTCTGATTCTTCAGCTTTCACATGAGGAGTGGGCATTCTGTGTGTGCGGACCCGAAGAGCACTTGGGTGAAGAGGGCTGTGCGCATTCTCAGGTATGGATCGCTGACTGGTAGAAACCGACGAGCGCACGGAACACGGCTCGCAGGCTCTCTGGCACTGTTCAGCCCCAGCGCTGCGGAAGTCTTAAAGCCATAGTTTAGGTTGGACCGTGAAAACAGAGCGTAGTTTTCTATTTACAAATCATTATTTCAATGTATTGATTTTCCCTAGGATGTGTTAGGTTCCTTGATACATTCGGTAGAAGCCAGTTGCTTGCTTTTTCTTGCAGAAATATTTCTTATTTATATAATTTACAAAAATACCTGGTATTGGGTTATTCATTAAAAGCAAAAATAAACACTGAAGAGATCAGTGGTTCTGATTTACACTGATGATAAGAGCAGCGTCTTATCAGTGAGTAGCACCTCTCATCAAGGAGCTGTTGATCTTGGACTTGGAAACACAATCTCCTTGGGGCAAGGACTCATATCTCCTTCCTGCAACTGCTTAATTGTCTAGGGCGAAGTCCATCTTTTCTGATCTCAGTCTCCTCATGGACTCTGAGCTAGCTTTCATTTTGAGATGAGATTAAGGACCTCTGGAGCAACCTTTAGGTACGAAAGTTGTTTCCTTAGTCAGGTCAACCTGTTTGGACTCACCCTTTCCCTCCTTTTCTCTTTATAGCCAAAGAGTCAAGAAGATGTAAAAACGTAATGCTCTTTCTGAATGAAATTGGACATGGCCCAAGAACAGAAGGGACCTGGGTGGCACTGGCGCTTTCACTAGCACATCATTTAGCACTGATCCGATTCACGCCTTTTGGACTTGTCCGGTTGATGAAGTTGATTCATATTGCATCACAGTTTGCTTTGTTTAAGCATCATATTAAAGTCAAGCTCTATTTTATGTTAAGTTATTTATAGCTATAGGTTTTTGTGTTTAGATATTTATACTCAATTTCTCATAATAAGCTATGGCTTTAGTGCAAGGTATAACATTGTATTTGCAGGAAAACAACTATATGGGTCTTCTAATAAATAGTAAGCTATTTTTTAAAAAATCTATTTAACTTTCCCTTGTGTATACAATTTTTTCCCTAAATTGTTGTAATTACATTATAAAAGAGAAAAATGATTGTAGAAGGGTAAATACTGAAAATAAAAATAACCTCAAAAGTTACTTGTTGAGAGTTGTATATTATTTATTAAGATGTGTGCTAAAATACTTAATAGTAGAAAAAATATAAATATTTTATGAAAAGTTGTATTCCTACCTGGTTGTTTCCTCTATCTTTGTCCCTCATGGTCCTGGACTTGAGACTCTATGCATTATAATGAAAGGTGTTCTTTTAAAAGTCAAAGCCACAAAGTCATCCACACAGAACAGTAGAAAGATCCTGTATTTCAGATCCATGGCCCAGTGTTTATTGATAGAAATATTTAAAACACTTTGGGACTATAAGAATACAATCGCTGTTTAGAAAATACCCAGGGAAGTCAATCAATCCATCAATCCAGGATTCCAGGAGTGCTCATTTTATCACCGGAGCACAATTCTTCTTTAAAGTCCTCTTCAGTTATTTGTAAGTAGTTTCCAAAAGGGAGATCACGCTTGGAAAGTGCTTAGAAACTACTTGTCTCTCTAACAAGAGGAGGCTTCAACCACATAAAAGCTAACAAATTCTTGATTATAAGGTGACAGGATCTTGAGTCAATGTCATCACCAACACAGTGTTCATGTGCCACAGCTCATGGAGTGCCTCAACTCCAGCTGTTCGGCCTCAGTTTCCAAAGGATCTGAAGGCTCACTGAGTCAGGCATGCTTAGGATAAGATACACGATCCAGACGCACAAACCCATAAAGCAAGGCAGAAGTGTGTCATCTGATGAACAGCCAGAGAGCAAGTAGTTCAGCGTGCCCCAGAGACATCTCTGCACCCAGGAAAATTAAGCTTGAGTCATCAGGGAAAGTATGCTCCACATCCTGTTTATTTATTTAGCAAACACAAATTTAGTATTTATTATGTGTCAAGCAGGATGCCAGTGCTAGAGAATTAAGTGACTTAAGAATTGGTAATTTAATCATAGATAATTAGGGTTAAGCAATGTGTTGAGGGGGAAAGAGAAGGGTTTAGGGTACTATAACACAGAATGGTAAGAACCAGAATAAATGAAGTCATGGGTACCAGTAGGCATCTCATTCAGAAGAGCTTCACAAAGCAGAGAATGTACACTCAGCTGTATGAAACAGCTGATATCCCTGTTTTGAGACAGATGGGCAGTTTCACTTGTTTTAGGCAGTTCTTTTTTTTCATTCTAGAATTTTATTTATTTTTTAATTTTTTTCTATAATTTTATTGAGAGACAAATAGCAATGAGACAGTTTCAAATCAAATTGGTAGGATAGTTTCAATATTTAACACATTGCATACTCTCTTCCTAGTGGTTATTTGCTGTACAAGATGCAGACATGATATCCTATTTACAAACAATATTAGAACAAATCCCTCTATTCATTAAGAGAATGTAACTATATATCTATCTTAACCACTTTAAATACACAGATACAAAATGGACATTCATCTGTATCCCCTTTTTTGTTTAGTTCCATCATTTGAATATTATACGTATGTTAACTCAGCAAACTATTCTAAAAGAGTCCAGTAGTCCATAATAGTATTGGGTCTTCTGCTTGTCTGGCAGTGTCAGAAATTGTTGACCTGAGTCCTCTACAGCTCAACATAATACCATGGCTTAGGCAGTTCTTGAGCTGAGATATGAAGGACCAGTAGGAGGAAGGCAATTGGAAAAGGGGCCGGAAGGCGCACTTGGAAATACCAGGGAGCATGTTTCAGTTGTCACAGTATCTGAGGGTGGGGCACTATAGGTATCCAGTGGGCAGGAAGCAGGGCTGCTAAGCCTACAGGAATGCCCAGGACTGTTCTGCACAATGAAGAATTGTGCCATCCCAAGTGGGATTCACACCGCTAGGGAACAATGAGGCAAATGTGTGCAAGGGGTGGAGTAGTTGCAGATGAAGTGAGACTGAAACCTCAACTCAGGATAATGGTTTCAGCTCAAACATGGAGACATGAGGGAACCACTGAAAATGCAAAGCCAGAAGAAAGGGAGGTGGGTCAGAATGGGAAGTGGAGGAACCAGCGATAGCTGCAAGGACTGGGGTGAAAACTGATGAAATGTCAGCAGACATCAGTAGAAGGAAAGATACGGGAGAAGTGAGATGCAAATTCTGAGGCTCGTCTTAGACATCTGTCTACCACCTCAACCTTTTTTTGAACAACACAGCCTGAGATAGCATTACAGGGGACTGAGATTTTGCTGACTACAGGGGGCTATTACCAAGTAGTCCTTGTAGAGTTAGACAAAATTTTGTCTGCTTCCTGAAAGTGTCTGAATCTTTTAGAACAAGAAGTATTAACAACTACTGGGTAGATTTTGGAGGCTGAAGTCTCCAGGGCAGAATGTCAGCTTATTGAGGTGTCACATAAATGGGCAGAGGCCCATGGGTTGATGTGGAGAGCAAGCCTCTAGAAAAATCATGGACGAGTCACAGAGCTGATCTATTGAGCTTAGGACCAGAGCACCAGGCCTCATTCTGCAACTTGAATATGTAATGAATTTGTAGAATTAGACCAAACATGGCTTAGCCGTGCTGCTCTCAATTTGATTTATTTTCCATTTTGGACAATGTACATCATTCTATGTAGTTTTAATAGATACCTAGTGTGAAAAGGAAAGAATTTGTTCAATAGGAAGGAAAAACTGGAATGAGTAAAAGGACAAATGAAAGAAAGGAAAAAGATATATTCCATTATATGTGCAGAATGGTTTGGGTAATTGGACTGTCACTTTCTGCTGGTCTTTCGAAAGGAGCAGTTAATCCTTACTTTTTAAAATTTCTTCTCCTTCTCCTTCTCCTTCTCCTTCTCCTTCTCCTTCTCCTTCTCCTCCTTCTCCTCCCTCTCCTCCTCCTTCTTCTTCTTTTCTTTTTCCTCCTCCTCCTCTTCTTTTGAATTCTTACAAATTTTATTATTGTTTTATTTTATCTTTCCTTTAAATGAATCTTGCATATTTATATCTGGTAACCTGAGCAACAACTTTGAAGATAGCATCATGTAATACAACAACAATTATTGAATTCCTACTACTTTGTTTAGTGAAATTTTGTATTGTTTCTAATGCTGTTTTTATCAATTACTACTTTGTATTCTTTAAGAAATATAAAAATAAATCTTGTATCCATAACTTAAAAAGAATAAAAAAAATTAAAATGAAAGTGTACTTCACTAGCAGTACAATACACCTAGTTGTGAATGCAGCTTGCTGACTTCTTATGTACCTATATCCTTACGTAGCAGCCCTTCCACTGAAAGATGATAAACATCTTCAGTATCCCAGAAGGCCTCAGTCCTTCTTCCCTTGGCACCGCTGTTCTGACCCAGACCCAACAGACTGGCTTGTCTCTTGATATCCTGTATAGGGAACTCTATAGAATGTGCTCTCTGGTGTCTGGCTTCTTTCTACTTATTTTTAATTATACATGTTCTTTATGAGTTCATTCTTACTCATAGACCCATGAAGTAGTGACGAGATGGGTAACAGTGATACACTTTCATCAAGACTCTTCCTTTCTATGAGTAATACCTGAGGATGCCTTGCTAGGTTTTAGCAAAGCAGCCCCTTTGGTTTTCACAGTCCTCTTGGGAACGTTAGTAATCATCACTAATTTACAGTCCAAGGCTAGTCCTGTTTTCCAAAGTTATTGTCTGACAATCTGAATGTTCCTGAGGTTTCTAGTCATACACTTTACAGATGTCTTCTAAGTGAGACTGCAGACATATGGTCACAAGTGTACCCTGTATCTGGTTGACTTGCTACATCCTCAGGGTGCCTCCAAGTTCCTCGGTGCCCCACTGTGCTTCCCATTAGTGTCAGCAGTCATCATGAGGGGGAAGATATTGTCCTTCAACAATCTGTAGTTCATTGGTCTCTGTGTGTTGCTGGTAACTTTGGATGAATTGGTGAGATAGTAGGGAAGGGAATCCCAGATGATAATGAGTCAAAGAACAGAGAGTGGAAAGTGGTTCCACAATGAAAGTGAGGGGGGATAAAGCCTAGAAGCTGGAATACCTTAACATGAAAAGTGTCAAAATAAGGGAGATTAAAAGTTCTCTGAGTCCATGAAGAGAAGCAGTTCAACCTCAGCACATGAATAAAGAATGGGAGTAGAGGGAGGGAATTTTACAATTTGAGATGGAGGAGGTTGGAGTCCTGCATTTCTGGGTGAAAGGTTCATCTTTGGAGTGTGACAGGGCAGCACACAGCAGACAGGGCTTTGAAATCAAAGGAGGAGCCTGAGGATTGTGATAGACACACGGGCACCCTGAAAGGCTGTTTCATAGGCCTGGGGCTCCTCTGAGGTTGGGTGACAAAACTGCTGTGGCTGCAGCTGACACATGCCGGTAGAGGCATAAGTGGCAGGTGGTTGCACCAGTGCAGCCGTGACGTTTCAGCCGTGAGGTGATGGCATAGGAGCGCTGCACTGTGAATTCTGCACGGGAGTTCAGAGATGAAGCCCGAAAGCATCTGTGCGCCTCCGCAAGGCAACAGAGAGGTCCTTAGATGAAAAGCCTTCATGTCATCACAGGGCAGGGCAGTGGCTGGGCTGGAGGGCTGGAGCAGCTCCAGGAGCCAAAGTCCAGGGTGTGACTGTGTGTGTAGAGGCTAAGTGCAGTGGGAATTGGAAGGCATCTTAGTCATTTTTCTGACAAAATATTCAACGCCCACAACTTAAAGGAAGAGAGGATTATTTTGGCTCAAGGTTTTTAGAAGCTTCAGTCCATAGCTGGGTGGATAGCAGGGCTTGCTGGGGAAAGCTGCCCAACCCTGGCCACCAGGAAGTGAGAGGGAAATGAGCAGTGGGGATGCCGTTCTGTCCCAGCGACCCGCCTTCTCCCAGACCACCTTCTAGCGCTCCTTCAGCTATGAACTCATCCCTGGATGGACCCACAGATGAGCATAACAGCTCCATGATCCAGTCACCCCTCAAGCACAGGAGATGTACGTGGGGGCACA